GACCAATTCTCCAAATTCAGGTGCCTCTGTTAAATAACATTTTGCAATTTGCCATAATTCTACAAAACACTAGTTCGTGACTAGCAATTCATATTTAGCCAGGTGTGAATTCCATTGGAGCAAAGTATCAGTTTACTCAATGACTAAGACATTATTCACAAATACACAAAATATTGGTTTACAAGCTATATACCAGGCACTTATACGCCAATTATTTTTTGTAAATAACTTTTTTTGTGATTCATAAATGATGGCCAACCTAAAATGCCGAAATGGTGATTGTTGGCCAACAATGTATTTACTTTTTAACTAAATAAAGATTATACTATAAAAAAATTGATTCCTTTTTCAAGTGTGGGTAACCCTTAAAAAATAAAATTCCTGAGTAATAAAGATTTGTATGATACCCCGAAGTATATCAACATTTTTTCGCTTTATTAAATTCACAACTTTTACCTCAACAGAAAACTATGTGGTATTCCCTCGAAAAAAATCACCAAGATCGTATATTTTATCATGGATTTAGAGAAAGGGACATGAAACAACAATAAATGATTTAATAAACATTCTATTAAATCCAAGGTAAACAAAGGAGGTAATCAGATGCTTTTTTTTAAATTTTAGAAAACACAGAATCAAGAAATATGATAACGACTTTTCAATATTTTGAATATTTGAACAATAAGATCTCCAGGTCACTACGACCTTATGACACCTGTACATGAGTACTATAAACTTTAAGCTCAATATTTGTCAATCTCAATCAGTGAAATCTAGTCCTCAATTTGTACAAACTAAAATTTCAAAGCACTCAATTCATCTGATAAATAAACTCAAACATCACTGCTAACAATTATTGACAAGTTGAATTTTGAAATGACATTAACGAACATTTCATGATTTCATACACAACTCAAACAAAATTCAAAAAAGGGGTATCTCAGTACATCACATTTTTGTGTAGTTACAACTCGAAAAAGTTGTTCCCTAGCAAATTAGTAATTTTGAGCCCTGGGATAAGATAGTTTAAGATAGTTCAAGTGGTGATAGAACATCATTGAAGTAATTTATCAAAACATAACAAATAGTTTTCACAAGCACTCAAGTTATTTTCCTATTAAGAATCTACAGTGTAAAACACTTCAGAGCACTTTGTGCTGGTCAAATAAGCAAATTTTTGCCAATTTTGTTCTAATTTTTAAAGGAAATACCAAGTAAGTCCAGAAACATTAAATGTATAAAAACACATACACAAAAACATAATTAAGAGGAGAATTATATATATTATCCCAAATTATTTAAAACATGTTAGGGAGGGGAGAAGAAAGATAAGTCTATGGGTATATGGAATATATGAGAGGGTGTATTTTCTCGAAGTTAAGCCAAAAATTCTGATTTAATGCTAACTTTAAATTATATCATTTCAGTGATTTGCTTTTTGTGATTAATTTACTTTTCTTGGATGACATCCCATTGTCTCCTAAAGGAGTAAGTCTCTTACGACAAAGGGACCTCAATTTCCAAATCTAATAAAAAAAATTCTGGAGCCATTTGAGCACTTCTCAAGTGATTTTAGCCATATTTGGGCCAAAATTGTCAAATGTGAACCCCTCTGGAAATTTTTGAAAACTGAATCCCCCTTGGCAAATCCTGGCTACGGGCTTGCAAGTTGTTAATTAATAGAACAATTATCTATATGGTTGTTGAGCGACTTGGGAGTCTCTACATAGAATTTGGTACCAATTGTTAGTGCCATTTATATTGGAGGCACCCACAATGGTACTTCATATTTTAGCTTCTACATCAAGAATCCAATAAAATGTTCCCTTACCTTCTGGTCTGTAATCAACTGAATTAATCCTTCATCTAATCCCATTTTAATCTGCTATAATCCCACCTAATCTGTCATTAATCCATCATTAATCCAACATAATCCACAAATGAATATTTCAGAAAAACACTCTTCGGAACCTCTGTTTGAATAATAACTATTACAAGAATTTAAATTGTTTAATTGTTCCTCAAGTGAAATACATCCTTATTTATGCATTAAAATAAACAGGGAAATCATTGTAAGTTCTCCCACGAAATGAATCACACACTAATCTCTTGTTTTGTATTGTTGATATTTAAATCGGGTCAAACCACATGTTTTTGTTTGATTCATTTTTTGTTTGTTTCCAGTGCCTGGGTAAAGACTTTATCCACTTAAAAGAGTTCTTCAAATGTTCCACAAAGTTTTTAAACAATCTGTTTTCTACTTTGAAGAACCATAGAGTACATTTGTCTGTATAACATGTATGGACAACAACCTCAATAGAAATAAAAAACTTCTCCTGAACAAACTTTCACAAATTGATGTTTTATCATGAAATTGGAGAGAAATAGAATGGAAAAAGCAAGGAATAAAGAGAACAGATGTAAACTACAAAACCTGAAATAATATAAAAATTGAAGAAGGCAGCTGTATTCATTTAATAGACAGTGCATAAAATGAGTATCATCTTTAAAAAATTAAAGGGAAATGTTAAAAAACAATTCTGACCCCTTGCAGTGCTATATTCAAACCAGATTTATTTTTTATCAAAAATCTACATGTGTTTTAAAATGACCTGAAACATTAAAAAGTAAATCAAGTTTTGTTTACCAATTCAAAAATTACAAAGTAGACAAAATTCTGGTAAATTCAAGTACAGTATAAAGAATGGAGAGTGAAAAATCAAAAGGGGTGACTTATAATTATGTACTTGATATCTCCAAAGATATCATTTATCATATGTCTGTTAACACATTTCACTTCTTGGATTCTGTTTGTATTACAACTTCTTGTAATTCTTGTATTGTCACGGAAAACAACTCAATTGTTTTACTTTACAAGCAGGAATATTTAGTAATACCTTGCAATATGTGATGAACATCATCTTTCAAAATTGAACATCTCCCAATGTGAACATCTAAATTATGAACACCTCTCAATACGAACACCTCAAAATATGAACACCTCTCAATATGAACACCTCTCAATACGAACACCTCTCAATGTGAACACTTCTAAATATGAACACCTCAAAATATGAACACCTCTCAATGTGAACACTTCTAAATATGAACACCTCTTAATGTGAACACCTCAAAATATGAACACCTCTCAATGTGAACACCTCAAAATATGAACACCTCTCAATGTGAACACTTCTAAATATGAAAACCTCTCAATACGAACACTTCAAAATATGAACACCTCTTAATGTGAACACCTCAAAATATGAACACCTCTCAATGTGAACACCTCTCAATACGAACACCTCTCAATGTGAACACTTCTAAATATGAACACCTCTCAATGTGAACACCTCAAAATATGAACACCTCTCAATGTGAACACTTCTAAATATGAACACCTCTTAATGTGAACACCTCAAAATATGAACACCTCTCAATGTGAACACCTCAAAATATGAACACCTCTCAATGTGAATACTTCTAAATATGAACACCTCTTAATGTGAACACCTCAAAATATGAACACCTCTCAATGTGAACACTTCTAAATATGAACACCTCTTAATGTGAACACCTCAAAATATGAACACCTCTCAATGTGAACACCTCAAAATATGAACACCTCTCAATGTGAACACTTCTAAATATGAACACCTCTTAATGTGAACACCTCAAAATATGAACACCTCTCAATGTGAACACCTCAAAATATGAACACCTCTCAATGTGAATACTTCTAAATATGAACACCTCTCAATGTGAACACTTCTAAATATGAACACCTCTCAATGTGAACACCTCAAAATATGAACACCCATTACTGTGTTTAACATCACTATTTTCCAGGAAGACATCAATTATGTATGTTGATCACAGATACTAGTTTTCTGCATCAAAATTCTGCAAAAAATTCTGCAAGAAAAAAAGCAAATTCTGCAAGGAGAAAATCAAAATTCTGCAAAAATTTTCAAAAAAGTCCAAATTCTGCAATCTTTTAAAACGATGAAAATTGACGTAGCAAGGGAACGGAAGTCAGCTACTTTCTAGGTAAGAACTGCGCGTCATTAGCGAACTCGCTTTAGCGAATTTAAACGTGATAGAATGTTGAATTTCACGGTGAAATTATACTTGTACTCAATAATGATTGATTGTTGGACATAAACAGACACTCTTCAAAATACCCCGCAAAGGTAGGAGAAATCGTAAAATATGTAATTTCTGGAAATTCTGGTAATTCCGCGGGATTTTCATGAAAATCAGGGATTCTGCAAAAAATTGAAGTTTTGTCAAATTCCGTCCACGCCGCAGAATTACGGAACACTAGTATCTATGGTTGATGAAGCCTTGATTTAATTAAGAGTTAATGGTTTATTATGATGTCCTATATGCTGTTGACAATTCATTAAAAGTACTATTTTGTTGTATATAAAACTGAAAATATAAGACATTTTGTTAATAAATTAGTTATTATTATTACTCATTAAAATCATACATGAAATGAATATTTTTCTCTTTCATTTCTAATGTAATATGGAGAGGCATATTTATTATTAAGAAGAATCTAAATATTTCTGCATCTTTAATATTTTAATAAAACTGCATCCTTCAAAGATATGCATGTTTTCAATATCATTTATGTTATCATAACAAAGAAAAACAAGGCATTAACAATCAAAATGTCACCACCTGCCATTTCTTACAGATACCAAACACCAAAGGGTGAAGGCCAAACACCAACCACTGAACACCATCCACAAAGGTTGGGGAGACCATAAAAATATGTCATCACTTTTGGTGGTGACTTTAATAAAAAAAAAAATATACTGATATTTCAGGGTGATGCAAAAATGAAAAACTTACACCACAAATATTACTGTCATCTTTTCATCAGTTAATCAGTAAATATCAATTTATATAGTTTTTAATGCATAAATATTGATTTTTTATCTGAAGTATGTGCATGCGTACTTAGTACTTGAAATGCGCATGCGTACTTTGTACTTCATGGATACTCATTTAAAGCCGACATTTTTTGGTAAGTCTTTTGTGTTTCTTGAATCTAGTCATATAGTTGATACTCTAAGCTAAAATATCAGATGTTAAAAAATGCAGAACAGATCTGATTTCAACTGAAATTCATAAGTATCAAACAACCTTTGAAATGTAAAGAAAAATACATGTTAATGAAATTAGATCAAAATGAAACTGATTTAAACTTTATTTCAGAAACACCAGAAGCAACTTCAAACACAATTGAATCAACACCAGAAACACTCGAATCTGAAGTTAAAAATTTAGATCCGAGTGCTTCTACCATGCATTTTGACACGGAGTTAGAGAGTGATGCGAAGAACGAAGGAGATGGTGTAAACAAGAAACCGGATAAAGTAAGTCAAAATATAGCAGAATTGGCTTTTATTAGTAAAAGAAAGATTTTAGATGTAAAAATTGATACTTCTAGCCTTAGAGTATCATGATTTTTTAAGTAATAAGTCAGGAAAAAATATTCTTGATTCTGATCACCAGGTTTTATATTTTTCTTTATAGGTCTGAAAAAGTTTTTCAAAATATCTCGGAAATCGTAAATGTTATTTTGGGAGAGGACTATTCTAGTAAACTTTTCTTCTCGAGATTTACGTGACCTATCAATGCTTCTTTAGGTCTAAAATCTGAGCTTGTTGATATAATTTTTCATATCCCAAACAAATATATCTATTGTTCTAACCCCACAAATCTAATACAAATCTTTACTTTCAGGTCACTGAAAAAGTGAGTCAAACTCAATGGTCTCCCCAAACTGATGCTATTCCACTGGTTCCCGAGTTAGGTAATGCTAGCTATTTTTACCAATCTTCAAGTAAATAACTGAATACAGTGATCTCCCCTGAGCATTAAAGAAAGTGGGCTTGCACCCACCTGAGATTTTAAAAACAGGCTTGCACCCACCTGAAAATCCATTTGCACCCACTTGAAAATGAGAAAAAATATGAAAAATGTGCATATTTTGACCAAATTCAGTGTAAATTGTGAAAATGAGAATTTTTCACCCACTTGAGAAAAATCCTGGGGAGATCACTGGAATATCTGACTTGATTTAGCACATATCATAGAAATATTTTAATCATATGAGTTAATCTCATCTTTTTTACTGCATATTCTTCAAGTCCCCAGACTTTATTCCATTAAATATCATAGCTTTATTTCAGTCAACAATTTGGCAAAAGGAATATCTGTAAAATAATTTGAAAATCTGAGGCTTGAGAATCCATCAATAAAGTGAATCAATTTGGGCCTGAATTTCTTATTTAAATACAGTTATCTTCTATTTACTGTAGTTTATGTCTTGTTCTCTTTCAAATAGATGACGATGCCAATGATCTGGAGGTTGAGGCGCTCTTGGAAGCTACAGAAGAAGAGCACATGGATGATACAAGCTACCCAACTAGTGTCTTTGCCTTCAGTGTTGGTTCTTCTAGCCCACTGCCAAACAGATTCCAGAAAGAAGAAAAAACAGAAGACTGGCGACTGAGAACCTGCGATGATTCAGGCTTCTCTACCCAGGTAAGGGTAAACTTCCATCTCATGTCTTTTTCATATTTATGATTATTAACATCTCCAAATCATGAGAGGTGATCATTCTTATATATATAGTTTCAATAATAACATTGGCTCTTACTACAACTATTATATAGACTATAAATAGATACATGTATAAGTAAATTTAGCAAGTGAAAATCTCAGTTCTTTAGTTTTTTAATAGAAAGATAAGATACAATGAAGAAAAAACTGATTCTAGAAACCATGTGACTGTTGATGTGCTATAAATAAAACAAGGCATCAATTAATTAATTAACACATGGCTTAATGTAACCACTGATTACATCACTGATAAGTGTAACAATTGTCACAGATGATAAATATTGACGCCAACATCAATGCCAATTGTAATGTATTGTTAGCTATAAAATAAAAGACTATTCATATTTTCAGGATTCTGAGGAACCAATCATGCTTGCCTCTGCTATGGTAGAAAAAAACTTGCCAATAGGACAAGGACCTAACAACGAATCATTTTACCATGGTAAGATCACTTTCAAATGCTTTTTGGTGTATAATATGTTTGTTCCCATAGTAACATGCTCACTTTGTTTTTGCAGGTGAAGGAAACCCATTGGTTTCTGAGGGAAATCTTGAGATTGCCACAGAAGAGAACAATGAGCTTGGGACACCTTCTATATGGACTTTCTATCATTTGAACATTGCCCCCCACGCTTTTGGTGAAAATTCTAACCATTTTTGAACAAGTTGTCATGTATCAAACCCTCTTTTATAAAATATGTCAAAAAAATCATTCCCACATGACAGATCTGCTAACTGTTGAGTTTTTCTTTGTATTTCAAATTGATCTTTAAACATAAATTATCAAACATTTTACATTCACTCTTCAAGAAAATAGTATTATTTTGTTTTATTTTATTTCTATTTGTTCATTTTTCACACATGATGTTCTAAACTAAAGTTTGACCAGTCATAGTTAAAGTATGATCATGGATATGACATTGGCAAAACTTACTTTACACTGTACATTTGTATAATAGATCTTTTAGTAATATGATACATAGTGTAATCTCATTTCTTCTCATAGTGTTAGTGAAACATACAGGGTGAGCCAAAAGGGTAACCCAAACATGTGTTAATAAGATATAAGATCTGTTAAAACTATTTTTAATTTTCTTGTATATTTTCAATAACTATTTTGGTGCAAATCCTATTTTTCCTATTTTTCAACTGCAAATTCAAATTATTATCACTCTGTATTTCAAATTCAGTTGCTAATTCTTTCAATTTATAAGAAAAATTTTATTTCCATATTATACATATACTTGTATTCATCATTTCTCTATAATTGTTCAATAAAACCATGTTTGTAAAATTGTATTCATAAAATAAAACGAAATAAAAAAAATAGTCTCTTTAAAATTACTTGTCAGTTGTCACATGATAGATAAAGAAAAGTCCTGATATAGATTACACAAAGTGTAACATAAATGTCATTATTTTGTCAGGAAAAATGTCTTATTACCAATTCCCAAATATACAAGACACAGAAAGAAAAAGAATTTCGTGTCAACTTCCATAACGTAGAAGAGATAAAGAACAAATTCGTCTTCTTTCTAGCAGTAACAGTGACACCATACTAATGTTATTTGGAATCTAACCTTAAAACATCACTGTTGTATCGGAATCATGCCTGTAGCCAGAGGGGGTTTGGGGAGTTAGAGTGAAAGTTCCTACAAAATTATGCCGTTTTTTCACCACTCTGAGCACTTTTCAATTGATTTTGGGCCAAAGTTGTCAAATGTGAACTCCTGGAATTTTTTGAAAAGTGAACCTGTTGGCAAAAGCTGGCTAAAGGCCTGAGAATGATATCACACAAAAAATCCAACTAATAAACAAGTCCAAAATACATCTATGTGTGAAAGTACAATATAGGACCTTCCCTTCCTAAATAATGAAAATATGAATTTTCCAAATTTCTAAGGAATAATATTCCAATTTAGCCAGCTTAATATTCAGTTTCATCAATGTTTTACATCAAAGTCCCACTTGGAAACCATCGCCATCTTTATTACAGCATAAAAGAAATTCTCTTTCTTTAAAGACTTGGTCTTGGTTTGGAGAACGAAGTCCATCAGTCTACTGGAAGTTACGCCTGCTTTGGATAATTTTGATATTTTTAGATTTAAATGTCCTCTTTTAATTTAATTTGAATGAAATTATTAGTGCAGTACAATGGTGAATTTCTTTCTCCTAATCGAGACTTGTCTTTTATTGAATCAGCGCGGTCTACTACACATTACGCCTGCTTCGAACAGATTTGATATTTTTACATCTTGTAGATTTTATCCTGTTTTGAATACATGTATTCATAATTCAATTTTGATGATATTTCTATATTTTTCATATAAAGACTGTTCTCCAAAGTGTGACTTGTCCTTCCTAATAAATTGATAGAGTAAGATATATCTATTTTCAACCTGGTTTTGTTATGCTGACTAGGGTCTCTCAATACAGGCAAACTTTTTAATTGTTAAGTTTTTCTTAAACCAAAATCTGATATTGATCTCCCTTATATGAGACCCTGATATGTTTGCATTCCAAAATAGAAATACTTTCCTTACATTTAAGTATGACAAGCATTACCATGACAACATGCCACCACCTGATAAGTATTGTAAATGGTAACAAATGTGTAACAACTTGTCACAGATACCAAATACTGACTGCTGTTATCATCTGCTGACCTAATAAAATAATAATACAAAAATGTGTGTGCATGTATACAGCCCCCCAAAACTAAAACCTTTGAAATCAGAATCAAAGCACCATCAACAAACAAACACCTTAAAGAATATATCATACACAGCATTCTCCATGAGATTTTTTCTCAAGTGGGTACAAAATTCTCATATTCACAATACAGACCGAAATTGGTCAAAATATACCCATTCTTCATGATTTTTCTAATTTTCAAGTACATGTAGGTGCAACAGTCCCATAGCCAGGATTTTCCAAGGTGTTAACTTTTTGAAAAATTCCAGGGGGGTTCACTTTTGACAAACTTAGAAAGTGCATAGAATAGTTAAAAACTGAATAATTTTGAAAGAATGTTTGGCTAGGGCCTGTGTTACTGGCCTGTGCAAGTAAATTTTCAGGTTGGTGCAAGCCTGTTTTTAAAATCTCAGGTGTGTGCTATGCCCACTTGATTTAATACTAGGGAGATCAATGATACATATTGTTAAATACCCGATATATACCAAGAAGGGTCATTTGAGCATGCTAACCAATAGGTTTGTAAGTAAACAAGACATCTTAAAGAGACTCTATTGAGACTTCTCTGTGGCATTTTTTCTTTATTCCTTTTTGTTATGAATTTTTAACACCATAACATTAACTAACTACTCAATATGCAACTTTTCACCACGTAGAATTTTAAAATATTAAGTTTGAAAATTCCATTTTTATAATGGAGCTCAATGGGAAAAACTACATAATTTGAATTATTTTCAAACGTAGCGGCTCGATTTTGATAAAATTGACAGGTATAATAAATATTGGTAAGACGAAATGTTTGATGAAAAATGAAGAAAATTCACCGTCCTGGTTACGCAAACTATAGAAAAATCTGAAATAATCATAAAAACCTGTAAAAATAGATTGAAGGGGGTGATATTCATTTCTAATGTGCCTTTCACTACTACAGGGTAACCATAATTTTTGTACTGATTTGATTTTTCAATGAAAATCATTTCTATAGTGTATTGTCAGTTTAAATTATTCAATTGCTATATTTCTATACTGAACAGTGCAATCACTTATTTATTTATCAACAGTAATGCAAACTACATATTATACAGTTAGTAAAATATTAAAATAATTCTATTAGAATTAAAGCATTGAGATGATACTTAAATAATTACATATTATATTGATAGGCATATTATATTATAGGATTTAAGCCAATGACTCAATGCATTGTAGATGATTAAATTTAACATATGTCCTGATTCTAGACTATGAACGAGGGTGGTAGTCCGAATTCAAAGCCTAGACTGGAAGACATAAGTGAATTGAAGCATTCACTATTCATTGAATCACGTGCTTTAATTCAATTTCACACATTGCAAAATATTTTTTACAATTTCACTCAACAGAATGATATTTTTTCAAAGATATGTTGTACTTTTAGAATCATTTGCTTCAAAGAATTGAACTATGGCGGCCTTTACTCGTTATTTTACGATTTTTGCTGTAACTCGAAAAGTAGTCGAGCGATTTTGTTCATATTTGGTATATGAATACTATAAGCATGGCACACTGTCTAATGACTCTTCTGGTAGAAGGCGGCCATTTTGAAAAATGGCCGTCATTTTAACGTATTTTACTATAACTCGAAAAGTTGTAGAGCGATTTTGTTCATATTTGATGCGTGAATACTATAAGCGTGGCACACTGTCTAATGACACTTTTGGTAGAAGGTGGCCATTTTGGTATACTTTGTTTGTAAAAAAATGCCAGCCATGGCTGTTCGATGGGATTTGCTACACTTTGGTGTTGCTGTTGTCTAGTTGAAGGATGGATGGACGGACAAATGGAGGGGTCTCTATAGCTTATCCCCTAATCTTTTGTTGGATTGAACAATTGTGAATATGGTTTGTTGGACAAATAAAACTGATTGAATGTCTAAAAGCAAATAATGAAGTGGTAATTTATTTAAAATCATTAAAATCTCAAACATGCTTGCTTTGGTCTAGTCACTTAATTCCTAAATGTCCCGTAATTAGTATCTACTGTATATACCTTATTAGATGCAGTGAAGGAGTTAAATCATTGGGATATGAATAAATCATGCAAAACATATTTTGTACATATTTCTCATCATTTAGGGTTACCCAGTAGTTTACAAGCTGACCTTTGCAAAATATATTTCACTTACTATCCTCATTCGCTATCACGCTATCTAGTTTCTTTCCAAATTGGCCTGAATTGCCTGGTTAATTGGTTTTAGCGAACCGTCCATTTCGTCAAACCATCATTTTGCTAAGGTTGTTTGTGATGAATATACAATATTCAGTTACATATAACTGTACAGCAACTTTATGCAAGGGAAGGTAATTGTGTGAGAGCACATAAAGTACACGAAGTATTGACCCACTTGTCTCAGTGAATCTTATAAACAGTGCATAAAGTTTTTTCTATGCAATGATTGGCTCAGAGTTACTTATAGTGTAAGTTATTTTATTTCTATACAGTGTGGAATAGAGTGTATAAACGTTTACAGTTTCAAGCAGCAAAAAATATTAAATTTTCAAAGTTGATAAACAAATTTCGAAACCATATTTTTAGATGTATTTTTACATGTAGATTTCAAATATGACATCACTTTGACTGAATTTTGAATATTTAATGACGTACACCAAGATCAACTTGCTTGAAACTGCCACAAACAATTTCTGTTCTCTTTATTTTCAAAAACTGTTATTTCAGCATCTCCTTTAATGAGTTAACCAGTTAAATAAAATAATATTTCGAGCTTTCAGAAAAAAAATTTGGGCCAAAAAAGGCCTTCAGGCCCAAAAAAGTGGGCCTTTTTGGTCATTACTGGGCCTTTTAAGGCCATATTTTTTAATTTCAGGCCAAATTTTGAAGAAAATGGGCCCAAATTTTTTTTCCGCACAAGCGCGGCCGTCTTTTTCTCTGAGTTGAAATTTGGGCCCCCCCTTGTTGATTCCCAGATCTGCCCCTGAGATATATCATGTAAAAAACAATATGATACCAGTGATAAAAATTTGAATAAGATTAAGTCGTGAAAATCAAAAGTTCTGACCTACTGTTCCCGCCATTTATTCAAATTTCTTAGAAAGGGGCGTATGAATCTGGTCATACAGTACATTTTGTACTGTATGTTCCAATCTTCTTATAACAAGTTTTTAATGTCATTTTTATCATAATACATACTTAACCAACATGTCAACAATTCAATGTGCATCACTACCACATTTTCAGTCAAGATGATCCTGCTACAGAGCACTTTCAGGAACTATATTCAGTTTTAAACAGATTTCTAGAAAATTCCACTCGGAGGGATACAATAGTGTTCTTAGGTCTGCGCATGCGTACTTATTACTTTTACTTAAAATGGCAGCAATCTTACATGTGGTAAGTTTTGCTTGTGTTTTATTCATTAAATTTTGTAAAAATATGTTGTACAAAGTTCAAGTTTCAGATTTAAATTGACGATGAATATACCTATTCAATATTTGATTTCAACTTAACTCAATAAATATCCTAATAATCATAATAAATAACATTTGAATGTACATTGATTTCGTAGATTTCTAGAAAATTCCAAAGTCAAATGGAATATTTCTTTATTAAAAAAGTTAGACCTTTCAGAATTTCTAAGACGGAAAATCCTCCCCCAACAGTACTCCATTCAAAATCATTTGGGAGCAATACTATACCAGTATAACCCTAGTTGAACTGGCAGAACCATATCTATTTTCAAAGACAGGAAGTTGTAAATACCCAGTTGTCCTTGCATCATTCACAAATTAGTTTTCAAAAATTTATACAAGTAATTTATAAATTAGTACATTTTGTATGTGTTCAACTTGATTTCTTAAAAGAGAGCTTCATCTTCACTCTTTCAGTTTACAACCAGAACAACAGCAACGCCAAAGCGTAGCGAATCCCATCGAACAGAAATGGCTGGCATTTTTACAAACGAATAGCAAATATCATAAAACAACACACCAGAAAGGCCACCATTTTCAAAATGGTTGCTCACTAGCCAAGTTGTCATCAGAAGAAATAATATGCTTTTAAGTAGCCACCTCTAAAATTTTTGAAAAATCTCACACGTACTTGTAAAATTACACACATAAAAATGGTGGCCATTTTTCAAAATGGCCAACTACTCCCCAAAGTTTTATTAGACAATGTGCCATGCTTAAAGTATTCACATATCAAATATGAACAAAATCGCTCCACTACTTTTCGAGTTATAGTAAAATACGTTAAAATGGCGGCCATTTTTCAATTTTTTTTTCAAAATGCCCGCCTTCTACCAAAAGTGTCATAGGACAGTGTGCCATGCTTATAGTATTCACATACCAAATATAAACAAAATCGCTCCACTACTTTTCGTGTTATAGTAAAATACGTTAAAATGGCGGCCATTTTTCAAAATGACCGCCTTCTACCAAAAGTGTTTTTAGACAGTGTGCAATGCTTATAGTATTCACATACCAAATATGAACAAAATCGCTCCACTATTTTTTGAGTTATAGCAAAAATCGTAAAATGACGAGTAAAGGCTGCCATTTTTCAAGATGGCTGCCATGTGCTTCTTTAATATCTACATTTGTAGCATTATTAATGTCCTTTTTAATTTTCTTACATTTAAAACATATTGCTATTACAGTTTTACATATTACACCTAAATTACTGTAAAATCGACACTAAAATGGCCGCCATTTTGAAATGTGCGGCCATTTTGAAAATCGGCTTTCGAGCAGAACTTCTACCCCCATAGGGTATATGTGTACAAAATATGAACAAAATTGGGCCAACGGTATTTGAGTTATTGCCCGGACGGACGGGCGGACGGATGTACGTACGGACGGACGGACGTACGTACGGAGGGACGGACGGACGTACGTACGGACGGACGGACGTACGGACGGACGGACGGACGGACGGACGGAGGCGTTCCCTATATCCCTCCGAACTTCGTTCGATGGGATAATAAATCTCTGAACTCACTGAGCCACTCAAAGTTCATTGCCATAATACAGACAACTTTCTATATATGGTCATTTCCTCTGTCATCCCACAGTTATTGAGCACACATTTACACGCCTGGTGATCGTACAAAATGGATGGAGGGGGGGAGTGGTATTGATATGAAGAACTTTTTGAACACACGTTTCTCTTAAACCAGTCATAAAGAAATCTGACAATTAAACACATCGTCAATTAAATGGTCATCTTTTGAATGATATTATTATATCTTTTATTGACAATTTATATCAGTTAAATGATACATTAGTCACTAAAACACTACAAACTACTACTACAACTATTCTAACTACAAATAATAGTACAATAACGTCATTTCTAAGGGCGATATAGTGAAATATTGGACCGAGGGCCGAAGGCCCAAGGTCCAATATTTCACTATATTGCTCGCAGAAATGACGTTATTAGTATTATTACCACCGTTAACGACCAGGACTGAAACAGCAAGAAAATCTTACGCATTGAACGATATCTAATTTCCCGGGGAAAATTGCCGGTCCAGAATATATTCTAGACCGGTCCATATGGACCACCACTATGACGTCACACATTTCTCAGGTCGATATAGTAAAATAAACGCCTTCTAAACTAGCACTAAAACCCCTAGAACTGGCCCGGCAAGGTGGTAATAATAATAATTATACAGTGTGATGCACACTATTAAACATATACACTTAAATTTTGAATCCATGATATATAAACTTTCCAATGTGTAATTGAACAGTCAAGTGTTCAGTAGCCATTAACCTTTTAAAAATATCTGGGTCATCACAATCAAAACTTGGAATAATTTCTTTTAATTTTGAAAACAAACATTCTCTAAGAGTTACATATTTTTTACATTTTATGAGAAAGTGTTCTTCGTCTTCAATAGAATTACATGTCGAACATTTTCTCTCATTTAGAGGTTTAGGGGCAGGTTTACAATGCCTCCCAGTCTCAATATGCAACTGGTGTGAACTTAGTCTAAATAACAATATAATTTGAAAAATACATATATACTTTCATCAATATTGTTTTAGAAAACACATCAAACACTTGTTTTGTTCTCGGTATCATGTTTCAAGAGTGAAATGAAACATCTTTCCGAACCTCATTGGAACAAAACGACATAAACGCAACATGTTTAGGTTTCTCAATATTGTAATTGTACAAAGGAAATTTTGGTTGATTTTAAAAAAGTATCTTGTTAATGAAATAAAAGGTTTATCTTGATTTTTATCTATTTTGGGGGGATTTTGTTTTAATTTTTTGAAAACTTTTTTAAAATCAACCAAAAATTCCTTTGTATAACTATAATATTGAGAGGTCTAAAAACATGTTGTATATGCTATTTTGTTCCAACATGGTTCGGAAAGACATTTTATTTCATTCTCAAGAATTGGTAGAAAGGAGCGAAAACAATTGCACTAAAAATACAAAAAAATGTTAACAAAAACAGTTATATAAAATATTTCTAAATAATTTTTGCATTAAATTGTTGTCAATCAGTCAACATTACATAAAATACCGTGTTTTTACAGAATGTTTTCAATGATTGGTTTAAGAGAAAAACATTGTTGAATTCAGTTTTCCATATCGATACCACTCCTTTGGAAGTTTTATTTTTTCAAGAGAAAATTTACTACTGAATTGCCAAATGCATAGGCACAGTGCATGGCAAAATATGTTAGGTCTTCTAGTATTTTTTTTGAACTTTTTTTGAAATTTTTTTATTATGAAAAATACATCAGAAGCGATGCATTCCACTTCATATCGTAAGTAGTTCTACTCGAGTAGGACATGAAATAACGTGAAGTAACAATATCCTATAGTATTTCTTTACTGCAGAAAAAAGATACTGAAGCTGTGACAATGAATCGAGACACAGAATACCATGGTGATGATATACAGGATGAAGAAGTATATCAGGCACAAGGATCTGATGGTCATCTCACTGAGTTGGGTATGTGTTTCATAATACTAGCTATTCTTTAGGAACATCTTAAGAACAACACTGTATATAGAAGATCTATCTCAATATTAAAATGTATGATCAAGAGTTCATGACATATTTACAGCTGTACAGAACTCATATTCAAGTTAATTTCTTATTTTCCATTACCCCAGTATTTTCCATATATTGATATGTACATAGATCTTTCATTTGACACCAAATGATATTTACTTGATGATATTAGTTTGGGCCTCAGTTTTAGTTACCTTACCTTAGCTAACCACTAGTAAACTTTCTTCCAGAAGATGAGCTTGAACTTTTTCATGATTTTGAGGTTGGCACAAAAAAGCCAATAATTGGAAAGAATGATGATGTGGTAAGTTTAACATATGCTGAAACATTACCTAGAAATGGCCTCAAAGAGACGATTCTTGAAGCCTATCATTTCCAATATATGAGAGAGATATTTCTTCACTTTATGTGTACATGTATTTAGCAGTGATGTACCTATAATGATGTCACATATGTCAGCTGTACCTATAATAATGATGTCACATATGTCAGAGTTCTGTTGATATAAGTCAACCTTTAGGCAAGACGGAATGTCACAAGTAAATAGGCTAGATGCGAGTAGAAATAATCTTGATTTACGTCTTATTACGTCTTACGATTTATTAAATATTCAAAGTTCAGTCAAAGTGATGTCATAGAATACCATGGTGATGATATACAGGATGAAGAAGTATATCAGGCACAAGGATCTGATGGTCATCTCCCTGAGTTGGGTATGTGTTACATAATATTAGCTATTCTTTAGGAACATCTTAAGAACAACACTGTATATAGAAGATCTATCTCAATATTAAAATGTATGATCAAGAGTTCATGACATATTTACAGCTGTACAGAACTCACATTCAAGTTAATTTCTTATTTTCCATTACCCCAGTATTTTCCATATATTGATATGTACATAGATCTTTCATTTGACACCAAATGATATTAACTTGATGATATTAGTTTGGGCCTCAGTTTTAGTTACCTTAAGATTAGCTAACCACTAGTAAACTTTCTTCCAGAAGATGAGCTTGAACTTTTTCATGATTTTGAGGTTGGCACAAAAGAGCCAATAATTGGAAAGAATGATGATGTGGTAAGTTTAACATATGCTGAAACATTACCTAGAAATGGCCTAGAAATGGCCTCAAAGAGACGATTCTTGAAGCCTATCATTTCCAATATATGAGAGAGATATTTCATGTATTTAGCAGTGATGTACCTATAATGATGTCACATATGTCAGCTGTACCTATAATAATGATGTCACATATGTCAGAGTTCTGTTGATATAAGTCAACCTTTAGGCAAGACGGAATGTCACAAGTAAATAGGCTAGATGCGAGTAGAAATAATCTTGATTTACGTCATTAAATATTCAAAATTCAGTCAAAGAGATGTCATATTTGAAATCTGCATGTAAAAGTACATCTAGATATGTGGTTTGAAAAATTGTTTATCAACTTTGAAAATTTAATTTTTTTAAAAATGTGACTTCTCATTCAGGTTGATTCCCCATAGACCCCATGTTACAAAATCACAAAAAGGGAAATATCTTTTCTTGTATTAGACAGATAACATTAATTGCTTTTACCGGACATATTTTAATTTGCATAACTATTAGATACATAAGGGTTATATGAAAATTGAACCACTATAACAGATGTAATTTAAGTTAAAGGGAACTTTCTACTATATTATTATTATCTTTTATTGACTCTTTAGATGTCATATCATGACATATTAGTCACTACGGTAGAGCAGTTCTTCCCATTGTCGAGTTGAAGAACTGGTATCTTTATCCTGGCTAGAACCATAGACAATTCTAGCCAGCGCCAGCCTTTTATCGAGTTAGCAGCACTCTAGTAATCGCCGGTATAGGTCAGCAGTCATAGGTCAAAGACAAATCACAAGAAGTGCACCCGCCATGCTATCTGACCCGAATGAGCCACCTGGTGGTGAAATAAGTAACTACCTTCTCGCATCAGCTTTATTGTTTCCTTTATAGTACAACAGATTAAACCCTTACGTCTAAGATCATACTAACTTAATGATCATCTTTTTTTACATACTTGCAGACCACTGAAGAGGAAGGGAACACAGATGATTCAGACTACCCAACTACTGTCCTTGACCTTAACCCAACTAGCCCACTGCCCACTGGAAAATACACAGGAAATAAAACAGAAAATTTTAGCTCAAGAAATACCCCAAGTGATTCAGGTCTCTCAAGTTCAGTGCCCGATAGTGCGAATAGTTCAAATATTTCTGATGCTTCTTGCAATTATGAAACTTTGAATAATACAAATAATTTTGATGCTTTTAGCAATTATGAAACTTTGAATAATACAAATAATTTTGATGCTTCAAGCAATTATGAAACGTTGAATAATACAAATAATTTTGATGCTTCTAGCAATTATGAAACTTTGATTAATCCAAATAATTTTGTTGCTTCAAGCAATTATGAAACTTTGATTCACCCAAATAATTTTGATGCTTCGAGCAATTATGAAACTTTGATTAACCCAAATAATTTTGATGCTTTTAGCAATTATGAAACATTGATTAACCCAAATAAATTTGATGCTTCGAGCAATTATGAAACTTTGATTAACCCAAATAATTTTGATGCTTTTAGCAATTATGAAACTTTGAATAACCCAAATCATTTTGATGCTTCTAGCAATTATCAAACTTTGATTAACCGAAATAATTTTGATGCTTCTAGCAATTATTAAACTTTGATTAACCCAAATAATTTTGATGCTTTTAGCAATTATGAAACTTTGAATAACCCAAATAATTTTGATGCTTCTAGCAATTATCAAACTTTGATTAACCCAAATAATTTTGATGCTTCTAGCAATTATCAAACTTTGATTAACCCAAATAATTTTGATGCTTCTAGCAATTATCAAACTTTGATTAACCCAAATAATTTTGATGCTTCAAGCAATTATGAAACTTTGATTAACCCAAATAATTTTGATGCTTTTAGCAATTATGAAACTTTGAATAATACAAATAATTTTGATGCTTCAAGTAATTTTGATGCTTCAAGCAATTATGAAACTTTAAATAATACAAATAATTTTGATGCTTCTAGCAATTATGAAACATTGATTAACCCAAATAAATTTGATGCTTCGAGCAATTATGAAACTTTGATTAACCCAAATAATTTTGATGCTTTTAGCAATTATGAAACTTTGATTAACCCAAATAATTTTGATGCTTTTAGCAATTATGAAACATTGATTAACCCAAATAAATTTGATGCTTCGAGCAATTATCAAACTTTGATTAACCCAAATAATTTTGATGCTTTTAGCAATTATGAAACTTTGAATAACCCAAATCATTTTGATGCTTCTAGCAATTATCAAACTTTGATTAACCGAAATAATTTTGATGCTTCTAGCAATTATCAAACTTTGATTAACCCAAATAATTTTGATGCTTTTAGCAATTATCAAACTTTGATTAACCCAAATAATTTTGATGCTTTTAGCAATTATGAAACTTTAAATAATACAAATAATTTTGATGCTTCAAGCAATTATGAAACTTTGAATAACCCAAATAATTTTGATGCTTCTAGCAATTATGAAACTTTGATTAACCCAAATAAAAATAACCCATATGATTTTCGCACCCCTATAAGGTATGAAACCCTTCCTAGCCCAGATGATTTAAGTGTTCCTACTGGGAATCCAATCCTCAATAGCCATGACTATGTTATTAGTACTCTAAGGTCTCAAACTTTCAATCAAAGTGTCCAAAGTCTTTTGCCCAATAATTTCCAAAATGTCCTTGGTAATAGTTCTACAAACCAATCAGATGCTGACATAGAGGGTAGCTCTAGCAATGGTGATTCTACACACGAGGATGGTTACTCTCCCAGCCAGGTTAGGATAAAATTATTTTTATATTTTTAAAACAATATTGTTTTTCACCTTTAGTGTCACACTTAAGCTTGTGTCACATTTGCTCCGATTCACCAGTCAGCGACCCAGGCATTAGGGTGCAAAAACATTTTGAAAAAAATTCTATTCTTTTTCTACATTGATCTTATCTAAATATGCTAGATAGACTTTCAATTCAAAATAAACCAATGTTGATTGTCTTATTAGGTTGAAAAATAATCTATTATGTTTAAAATATTACCTTACCATTGAATTTTCTAAAAAGAAATTCAACAAAAAAACATGTGATGATGAATTCTAGGCATTGGTGTGAATATTCACGTATTTAAAGATACATGTAACTTCTAAAATTTAGTTTTAAATAAGTTCATGATTTTTTAACAAAAAGTCCTTCATAAGCCAAACTGGTAAAAAATTATACAGAGGCTATAAGTTTTTCATACAGAACAATCATGAGATAAACCAAAAGAAAAAAACAATTTTAAAAAGAGTGTAAAGGCATTCATACAAAATGTGTGATTTAACTTTTTTAGAATTACATGTTTTCACAAAAATTTACTCTCAGAATACTGATGGAGAGAGCCAAGCAGAAGGCGCATCAAATAACGAGGGGCAACACGAGTTTTCCTTGGTTATTGGTTACAGACCCATTCAGGAGTCTTTCTCTGAAGGTAAGACTTTATCAGAGCATACCTGTATACATGTACTGTTCAAATAAATGTATTTTTCTGAGTATCACAATTTAATTAGCTTGAACTAATGATGACCACTTAATATTTGTTTCTCCAGGCACTGGCAATCCATTGGTGTCTGAGAGAGGACAAGAGATTACCACAGAGGAGGACAGTGAAAACCCATCTTTGTGGACATTTTATCATTTCAATATTGCCCCTTATGCTTATCAATAGTTATACAACAGTGAAAAAGCAACTACAATTGGACAATCAACATGATAAAAAAATATGTATATATAAAAAGATTCAGCGTAGTGTAGTGAACAGGCCATTATTTTATTTTATAGCAAAATATTGTAATTAAATGCTTAATATATCCAGAAGGAAAATCAAGCTAAATAGTATATTGTATTAAATGTATGTAGTATTAATGCTGAATAAAAAAATTTTTTTTAAAATGTACGCAAAAATATGTATATAGATATATAGTCTGCTTAGATAAATAAAACACATTGTAAATATAAGTAAAAACTGTTGAGTGGTATATCTTTGTAAGTGGAACACCTCACATTAATGGGAATAGTTTTTCCTTAATGACTTAATGCCAAGTGAATCTGAATAAGTAGAACACCTCCAAATCTGATCATGGGACATACCTTTTGAAAAATTTGAAAAAAAACTGTGAAAGTAGTACCTGTAAGTACAGTCAGTTTGGTCTAATCTAAACACTGGAACCGGCTAAAAGAGCTTGGATAAGGAGGTGTTCACATTTCAAGGATTTGCAATTAGGGTCTCAGGATTTTGAAGAAGTGTAAACATTCACAGTAAATAGAAATAGTTCATAGCTGACCACATGGCCTAATGGCATTCCCATAATTTGAAAATCTGATTCAAATTAAATATCAGTTTATTAATTACTTTAGAAAGATACATTATGACTTAAACCATTTTAATTTTAAACATCGCAAAAACAGAATTCGATAGAAAATATTTGAGCAAGTTTGTATTAAACATGTGATATATGGACATTTTATCAATGTTTTACATTAAGGTCTCACTTAGACACCATCGCCATCTTTATAACAGAACAAGAGAAATTCTCTATCTTTAATTCCCAACAAGAGATCATTTTTAAAAAAATGAAGGCTCGTGTGAAGGAGATGTTTGCAGTGTTGTAATAAATTGTATTGATAAATAGGGATATGAAAATATAACACAAGATAAAAAAGATGTAAAACTTGATTATGAATATGTGAACTACATAATTTATTAATTATATTATTAAAAGAAAAGTGTTTTCTAAGTCAAGTTTCACTGTATAATTAAATTACCAAGCTGACTTTTAACGCGGTTGTAATTTACCAAACGGCAAAAGTAGAAAAATCCGAACATTTTGAACTGATTAAGATCTCTAAATTGTGAAAGTCTGAGTACCTGGACCTCTTAGAAAACATCCAAACATATCAAAAAGTGAAGATGGGTCAATTTGATTCTCGTTCTCCGAAGATATTAATAAAATAGTTAAATGTTCGGAGTTTTTTAATGCTGTAAATTGTTCACAATTCTAAATTAAGAAGTCGCTCGTATTTCTGTCGTATTGAGGAAATCATGTTGCCGAAAATCAGTGCACAGTTTTCATGGAGTTGTCGTAAACTGTGCGTATATGTCGTTTGAAACCCTCTCTAACGCAATTTTATTATAAACTAACACCTTAGGGTTAAACTTTTGCTCGAGGAATTAACTCATTTCCATTAATAAATATTAACTCATCAGGTTTTCTACTAGTAAACTAACGTTTTAACCTCAGTCCATTGTCGTTATCACTTACTACTAAAACCAAGTGAGATATGGCTCTTGCCTCAGCACGAGCCAATAACCTGATAGAGAAAGTTATATCTATAAAATTATCTCCCTCATGAGTACCTGAAATAATCATATTACTGAAACAAAAATGCTTTTCCTAAATAAAAGTGTGACATGCATTACCATGACAACATGCCACAATCTGAAAAGTTACTGTAAATTGTAACAAAAGTATAACAATTTGTCACAGATGCCCATTACTGACTGATGATGTCAAACGCATGTCATAATAAATGGTGGCATATACATATAACAATATGTCATCTTGGTAATGACACCTGCTCACCTAAAAATATAAGACAAAGCAATAACATGCAAAATGTCACCACCCGCCATTTGTTACTAATTACAGATGCCGATCGCTGTTAAAGATGCTTTTATAGATGCCAAACACCAAGCGCTGAACAGTTAACACCATCCACAAAAAAGTTGGGAGACCATACAATATGTCACCACTTGTGACATTAACTTGTTATTAACAAAATATTCTTACCTTAATTGTTTCTTCTACACTATGAGTCGACTGAGCCTTTGACGATGATGCGGCAGACATCTTGAATTATTGCACTTTGCCCCTCAACACATCAGGGTTACACCTCTGAAAATACATGGAAAAAATGATGAGTGAAAATTATCAATGAAAAGTACCACAATCTGAAAATTTAATCACCAAGTTTCTGTATACCAACACTCAGTTTAAACAAGGCATTAACATGCAATATGTCACCGCCTTCCATTTGTTACAATCACTGACGACTGATGCAAACCGCCAAATGCCTTCCACAAAGAAGTTGGAGACTTAATAATAATAACGGCAACTCCGCGGAGTAGCAAATCCCAACGAACAAAATATCAATTACCGAATTCCAATCATTACACCTCTGAAAATACAGTAAAACCTGCGTACAGGGAATGCTCTTGGGACTGAAGGAAAGTTTCCTTGTTCAGAGGTTTTCCCTATAGAGAGGGGCCGCACTTTCAGCAAACTCAGAATTGCCGAATAAGCATTTTGTATATATGTTGATTGATTGTACAAATGCCGGCTCCATACTTGGTTACGTTTTCCCCATGTTGATTTTAGCTGCTGCTAGCGTCCAATGATGTCTAGTTGATGTAATTGTTGAATTGATGTGTAGAGATATATTGCTAAGAACTAAATTTCAAGTTTCATCAACCCCATTTTATATCATTGATAATCTAGAATTAGATCAGTAAAACAGTTAGAGATTTGGCTCAACATGACCGTGTACTTACTATCTGTTATCTCCATAAAACAATTGTGTCAGTCCCTAGATTATCACAAGCGGTTTGACGCAATTAGGTTTTTGAAAGGAAGAATTAGTGTCATGATAATAAGTAACAATAAGTAACAAACAGATTAGTATTAGTTTTAAAATAAATCAGGGTAATTAACAGTGGGTGCGATGCTACATCATGTAAACAATTGGCTTATCTTAATCTCAATCATATTAATCCAAGCTTTTTATATTCAGATATTGGCTTAAGACTTTCACACCTCTGAAATATAATGGAATATACAGTGTCGCCAATATTCCATATTCCTTGTTCACAGGTGAATTTTCATAATTTGCCCCAAAATAGTGTTCCTTGTTCCCTGTTCACAGGTTTTCCCTACAGAGAGGGACTGTTAACATGTAAGTCAATGGAAAAATATTTGGTTCTTTTGAAAAGCATTCCTTGTTCATAGGTTTTCCCTACAGAGAGGTATTCCATCGGACAGGTTTTACTGTACATGGAAAAAATAATAAGTGAAAATTATCAAAGAAAAGTATCCTGAACTGAAAATCTGATCAATAAGTTTATGGGAAATATTGTTTACTTCAAGTGGAAATACTCATAACGCTTTTTTTTAAAAATTAAAATGTTATTTAAAGCTCATTGATATTATCCTCGTTGGCTCCAGGGTCAAATTCACTTTTATCAATAATGATCAAATGAAACTAGAGCCCAAAAGTCTTAAAATAAATCTAAAAATCTTAAAATAACATGCACTCTTAAATGAGAACAATTATACGTATTAGTGAAATTCAGCTTCACATGCTCCAGGGTTCAACTTCACTCTATTCTTCAAATACCATAACTGATTAAAATTGGTATTGTTTACTTTACAAATATTATATCTATGTTCATCTTGTCCCAAAAACAGAACTTATTGATAAGTCTGTCTATAAATAAGGATTTGAGATAAAATTAATTAAAATAATCTTGCAAGAATTGTTAAGAAATGTTAAGAAAACTTAATACGCATGTGATTTTGTAGTAGCATATTGTATTGTTGGTCTTCAAATAATCAATGGTTTTAATGTCTAGTGCCTTATCATTCTGTAAAAGCTTTAGGATTTATGGTTAGTTACACATGTTCTAGTATTTATGATTATGGTATGTCTAATTATTGTTCAAGTATTGTTGTTTACATCGCATAAGTGTAATGATAACAATAGTAAACAGATTTAGAAAGATGATACATTCAGCATGATAATAATTTAGTACCATATCAATACCTATGGGATATTCATAAGGCTAAATGCTGATTATGTTTAACTTGAACACCTGTGGATTAGTCCATGGTATCATCAACAGATTTTACAAAAGACTTCAATCTATACATTTTAAGGCTTCTGATTATAACATAACTGATTTCAATAAATATTTATAAAGGGATTAGTTTATGAATTCATCTCTGTTGCTGCCTAGGGATGGTGCCCCAAGAACTCATTCTGACTAATATTGTATAACCATCCGAAAAGAGGATGCTCGAAGTCTATTTGGGCAGGTCGTATATTGTCTGATTACCAAAACAAGCAGTAGGTCAAGATATGGTCTGTAAATGCTAGAATTTCCCATGAAGGAACCCCATAGAGGACTAACAAGAAACAACAAAGATTCATGAAGAGTTCTACTTTTACAGGAAACAACTGAAAAAACTTGATTCAAGGTCCCAACTGGGGAGAAGTCCATTATCAACACCCACATCTAAAATAAATCACATACAAAAAATAAATAAATGCTTCTTGCAAAAATAAACAAAAACACTGTAAATTAGAACTTTAATTAAATTTTCTAGTAGACTTCTAAAGCATTTGCGTTTTTACTAATTATGCAAAAACATACATCATGAACATATGACCCTGATGGACTATGTCTACAGAACACACACCTTGTTTTTGCTGGGTGCCTTAAAAACCATACATCAACTAATTTTCTCTCAGTTTATTCCCAGAAACCAATCCCCCAGAATCCCCTCACAGATCACATGACCTCTAACAACCTATCAGATTTAGTAAATACATACAATGACTCTACAATGATGGGATTTATTCTAAACATCTGGGGTTGTTTATATATTTTGAAGCATCTTCCACTAGTGTTAAAAGCTCACACTTCTTGCCTAGAGAGAAGTGATTTTTTCTTGTAAAGATGCTACTCAGGGACATAAACTATATAAAAAGATTATAATCTGTTGTACTGGCTCTTCTTCACATGGTAGAATAATTAATGATTCCCCCAACATTTAATTAACAAGCATGTGTTATACAAAATGAAAAATTGAAAATTGCCTTGCACCTTGTAAATAATACACACATATTCAATAATCAAATTAGCATGGCCGTAGTGCCTGATACGCTGGGTACGCACAGGCGTTTCAGATGATTGCAAATTTGCAAATACAACCAAATTTCCAAATTTTCTTGGGGGAAGAACCCCCCCAGACCCCCTAAACGCTCATTTTTTGCGTCATTCAACTCTTGTTCCTGTGGTGGCGTACTACTTAGAAAATTAGCGCTAGGCCCATGATTGGTGAGGATTTGCAAATGTGAGAAATCATAGCAGTTTTGTCCATTTCCTTCACTGCTAGTTAAAAAACAGAAAGTGTGATGAATTTCAGAATGAGATTTTGGAGAAATCTTGAAATGATGTTCTCTAACCTTAAAAAATGTCAAATAATTTAGTCTGGTATATTCTGAGTATATGTTACTTTATAGCCTGCGTGCAGAGTCTAGTTAAACTACACTCTGCCTAGTAGAGACCATATTACAGTTTAGTAGCCTCGCCCCCACGACAGGGGGCGCCAAATGCGTTCTAATTAAATATGCGCATGTCATTGGTCTATTCCGGGCTCAACGATGACGTCAGAGGGAATGACCATATATAGAACGTCGGTCAAATTTGGCTGACGAACACTGATTGGCGCGGTGAGTTCACAGGTTTATTTTAGTTTGAAAGAGTGAAGACGAAGCTCTCTTTTAAGAAGTGAAGTCAAACGAATACAAAGGGTAGTTACTTTATTCATTGTATAACACTTTCTGCTCTTTCAGCACTTCAAACCATTGGTCTTGTATCCTTTATTACCAAGTTTTCCCGCTTTAATGCTATATTCCTGTCATCCTCCCCTGTGTTTAACCATAAAAGATGAGTTATCTCTTAGTTTAAAGTGAAAAAGAGCCCCAAGATAGACCTAAAATGTCATAAAACACAAAATAGTCCATAAAGGTATCTTCTACTTAACATCCTATGGTTCTTAGGTATCAGTCATCAACCTTCAGAAAAATTGAGTCACAAGGACTCAAGAAATTTTAGTTTCACTTTCAAAATTTCATCAAATCAAAATAGACTCCAAAGAATGTCAGAACATAATAACATCCAAAAACTATCAGTCAAATGTATCTTTTTAAGTAATACCTACCCCAGGTCGAATATCATCCCTTGTTTAAATCTTAGAAATTATTCTATGACATTCAAACTGAATCTGATTCTTGACATAGATGTATGTACTGCACACAATCATCCATATTCATGCTTACCTATTTGAGAAGATGCATGGAAAAGACACAATGTCAAATACCTCACAAGTAAAAATTCACGGCAAATACATAGATCAAAATGACAAATATATGACATCATAACACAAAAGAGTTGAGTCCAGTTAACATTATTAAACTCAAGGACTGACAGCTTCATTCTTGTGATACCTGAATCTTTAATGACCTGTTTTTCAAATAACTCCCTAAACATGATCATTTTCTAGATTTTCTGTTTTTAAATGTCAAACTTCCATAATTTTCTTATATTTTCATAATTTAAAGGGAGATTGTTATGCTTATTTCCTTTATTATTGCTGATTTCACCTTTTTAACTCTATTTTGCATTTTAAATTTATATATTTTATTGCCAGGTACTATAAGAATTTGACAATAGATGATACTAATTTCAAAGTCAAATTTTTAAACAATTTAACCCCTTGGCACCCAAGGTGAACATTTAAACAATTTAACCCCTTGACATCCAAGGTGAACACTTAACCCCTTGCTTACTGAAATCAAGTAATATATTAACATTTCCTAACTGTTACTATATAATTGTAATTGTCTTATTAAATAACTGTCATCTTTCTGTTTTGAAGTTGCACGATTATCAAGATAGATGACCAAAAAATGCTGAATGTGAGATAATTCACTACCCTCTGTAAGAACTAAACATAATCTATACTCTTTAGATGAGAGATACTTTTTGATTCTGCTCATATCTATTCATAGTATGCAGTCAGAAAATCAGGATACCACATTTTTACTTAAAACG